ATTTTAATGAAATAAAGAGCTTTTATCATAACCTTAAAAATAATGAATTATTACATTCATGTTAATAATAAAAATACTGCGGCAACAGTATAATTTCGATAAAATTTTAATTATTTTTCAGGTTATGAAAAAAGCTCTCAATTTCATTAAAATTTACTATCCATTATGATTTCACACGAAATTTCTAAATAGATTAATATGTAGAATGTCGAGAAGATACAATTTGAAGTTTGCAATTCTTCGATATATCTTCTCGATATTCTATATATTAATCTATTTAGAAATTTCGCATGAGAGTTAGTGGATAGCATATTTTAATGTAATAGAGTGCTTTTTTTCATAAACTGAAAATAATAAAAAGACTGAAATTTATCGAAACCATCAGTAGTTTATGATTTTCACATAGGACTACATAATAGACTTGATTCACATAGCGCATCGAACACCCCAACTTATCGTTATGCAAAAAATGATTTGCAAGCAGTTATTTGCGCGAGTAACACAAACCGAAAAAGAAAGCACGAAAAGATAGAAGTTTAAGGTTAGGGCGTTAAAATTAGATGCTATAACAATAGATTGTTGCTTATTATATGTAAAATTTCGTTCCCGACATTTTTAATTAGTGCACAAGGTCGATTTAAACACTAGTTTTTGAGTGTTTTCGCCTTTTCTTCTTTTGCAAGTGTTCGGAATTCATGTCAGGTCAGGCTGATACAGGACAGTCAAATTTTGTGCACTCCGATTGGCCATTTCCTTTTTAGGGGTTTGTATTACTCGCGCAAATAAGTGTGTGTTATCAACCTACGCTGTTAGATTAAGGTTAGGTTTTTGCTATGAAGTTAGGTTAGAAAAACTTCGTAATACCAAAATTTCGTAAGGAAAATTTTTTGTTAGTGTGCAGAAGGTCACACCTGATCTTGAAATCTGATTGGCCAGTGAAATTTTTTAGGTTGGTAACGCTAGGACAGTTCCCTAGGGATGGGTACTGTGCAGCCTGCGCAAATTTTTTGGCTAACTGACATAATTCTGATCAGATCAGCTTGTATAATGCAGCAGCAGGATTCAAAAATGCACGATCTAGGCATTCCGCTCGGAAAATGGATTTTCCTAGAAAAAATCCAGATCTGCAATACTAATATACGTATAGGCCTTATATCTTTCCATTAAAAAGTTTATTTTTGCCAAACAAAAAAAAATAAAATGTCTTTCGTTTCGTTTCTTGACTTTATTCCGACCATAACTTCAATTGTATTAAAACATTATACCGAAGGCCCACCTAAAAAATCATGGAATTTAAAATCCCATCTGGCAGTAGCAATGATTAAAGACGATAGTAGTCGATTATCAAAAGTTCCTATTGAAAAAGCTCAAAAGGCAATGGACGATGCTTTTAAGAATAAACTTCTTCCTAATACAACTATAAAGGGTGTTATATTAGATGAGGAATATAGACAAAAGAGTAAAACGTATTTAGAAAAGATTTTGAAACAATATGATGATGTGTTAGACGAGAAATGGAGAGAACCAAATGACAAAG